GCACTGTTGTGCAACAACTACAAAGATAAGTGTGAAAGGTAAAAAGAAGATATAACTTTATAATATGTAAACCGACTACTAAAAATTATTTGCTGAGATGATTGATTTGTGGATTCTAGGAGTGTGATGCTTCACATGAGTTTACCTGGATGCATGTACAACAGGTGTGGTTAGAAGGATTGGAAATGAAAGACCAGTCAGCCTGGCTGTTCTAGATCGAAACAATGCCTAACCTCTTGGGTTCAGAGTATTCAATATTTTATTGAAATAAATGTATTAATGATTTTAATCTTTTATTTATTTATTTTTTTTTCAAACAACTACAGGAAATCATAGATCATTCCCTTCGTGGAAGCTTATAATCAAATAATTAGGTATTGATGGTAATAACTCAAGCTTGGGCCTGGATCATGAAGATTTAGGTGGGCTTTTCTAGCTTTCAAAAACCGGTCCATGTGGATATTAGCGTGTTAGGAGAAGGCTCGCCAAAAATATTCTTTTCTCTCTTGCAATTGAATAGAAAATAATCAAAATTAAAAATATACTATTGGTTTTTTTTATTATTATTTTAAAAATATATAAAAATTTGATTAAAATAAATATTAAATAAATTAAATACATTGTATCTATTTTTTAGATTTTAAAAGACAAAAATCTATTGCCACATCTACAGTACTTGTGAACTAAGCTCAAGACATCAAACTTTTAATGCGGAAAACAGAAAAACCACAGGACTTTTAGTCTGCTAGAAAACTCTCACAATTGAAATGTCAAGATTAATTACGAAGTGCTCTCTAAGCAAGGCTAGAAACTCTCAACAACAATAAATTGTGAATGATAGAGATATTGGGAGTGAGATGAGTTCTAAAGATTTCTATAGTCAGAAGCTCCACCTTATCGTAGAGAGAAACATTTGATAATTGAGATTTAAGGATGAAATAAGAGAGAAGATAACTGAAACTTGTTCATTGTGGATTTCTTACCAATTATAAACGAGAAGAATCTTGATCCTCCATGGACATTAGGCCATCCCCCTTCATTTTGTTGCACTCTCCTGATATGGAAAGCGAAATTTACAAGAGAACATCAATAAAATCCATTTCTTGCAATATGCAAATGCAGAGTAAAAGCTTAATTAGCCTGATTAAGATGAAGTAATACTACAGAATATCCTCATAATTAAATGGTTCTCTTGTTATTTAGATGGACTTTATTATACAAAAAGATTAAAGTAGAATAGAACGATGTGGTAGTAACATTGAACATAGTTGCATATGATATTATTCATGAAATTAATGAAAGTAAAAACTCTACCTGAAGTAATTAAGCCTGTAGGATGTTGATGAATTTGTTCAAGATTTGAGTCAAGTAATTAAGAAATGGTTGTAGTGCTATCCTATGGGAATACCTGCACAGAATAGATAATATATATAAG